GACCTGTAAGAGTACTGTTGTGTTCAAAATAGGACCTGGGGCTGGGAATGTGGCTTGGGGTAGAGTGCTTGCCTTGCATGCATGAAGCCCTGAGTTTGATTCCTCAGTACCACATAAAAAAAGAAGCCCAGAAATGGTGCTGTGGCTCAAGTGGTAGAGTGCTAGCCTTGAGCTAAAGAGCCCAGGGACAGGGCCCATGCCCAGGATTCAAGCCCCACAACCAATCCCCCCTCCTCAAAAAAGAATTCAGTTGAGAGAAGGACCCCTCTTTGCATCCAGAAAGGTAGTATTTCTCTTGTGGGTGTGCCAGGTAGCTAGTATGTTATTCACTTGTACCAGTGATAATATTCAAAGAGCATATATGGAGGTTGGGGGCGAAATCCTAGCTCAGTCAAGTTGCTTGCTGATTCTGGTTCCCTGTGGGTGAATGGGCGGCGGGGGGGATGGGGGGGGGAGAGGGAGGCTCACAAAGTTGGCTTGCAGCTTAGGCTACCCATAGTTTCTAGAGGCCTCTCCTGTCCTTGCACTCTGTATCAGGAACCATGAGTAGCTTGTCAAAACATGGCAGACTCTTCCCAGGGCTGAACTTCTCTCCTTCCTCTTCTGCCACATCTGACTGAGTTCTGTTGTCCCCTGCTTTTCAGGGTTCATGTGAGCACATGAGGGCACACTGACCATATAGGCTTTTTTGTTGTTGTTGTTGCTATTGGTTGTGGTGCTTGAACTCTGGGCCAGGGTACTTTCCCGGAGCATTTTTTTGGTGGTAGTGGGTCTTGAATTCAGGGCCTGGGGCTGTCCCTGAGTCTCTTTGTGCTCAAGGCTAGTGCTCTTTCTGAGGTAAATGTTTCACTGAGGTTTCCACCCAGACTGGCTTCAAACCCCATCCTCAGATCTCAGCTTCTTGAGTAGCTAGGAGTACAGGCATTAGCCACCAGCATCTGGGTAGTGTTTTGTTTCTTTCCATTTGCTATACTTTTGGGTATAGCACAGCTTGAGCTGCAAATGGTTTGCATGCAAAATCTTTTCCCTGGTAGGGCATAGTGAAGTTATTACAGGCCGAGACCCTGAACAGTTCAGGAGGAAGATAAACAGCCTGCAAATTCCTTCATGTTACTACCATTCCAAAATGGGTGACCCTCCAAGCCCCAAACATTGTACTGCACACATGATGCAACAATAGACAAATTATACTGGACACCAGTGGCTCACACCTGCGTCCTAGCTATTCAAGAGCCCGAGATCTGAGGATCACGGTTCAAAGCCAGCCCAGGCAAGAAAGATGGTGAGAGTCTTATGTCCATTAACTACCAAATGGCTAGAAATGGGACCTGTGGCAATAGTAGAGCATCAGACTTGAGCAAAGCAGCTCAAGAACGGCATCCAGGCCCTGAGTTTAAGCCCTAGGACTGCCACAGAAAAATAAAAGAAGAGAAGGTCAACTCATATATGAGTGAACTACCTAGTTATGTATGTATTACCTCCCTGAGTGCAAACAGAAGGTATACAATGTTTCTGGTTTTATTCACTGATTTATTTTTCAGTAATGGTCATTCTTCATCCTGCATCATTATCTTCATTTCAGGTCCAATGCTTTTCTCTTCCAGTGTTACAGGCCTGTATCCTTACATGATGGTACACTTAAGCTCTCAGCAGTCTTTATTTACATTTTTTATGAGGCAAAGGCAGGAACAGTCACAAATCAGGCATGGGAAGAGAAGTTCAGGGTTAGTAGAAATAACCAGTATTCAGAAAATTAAACTTGGGGATGTAAAATGTTAGCATACTACTTAAAAACAACTATTAAAAAAAAATGAGGGGGCTGGGAATGTGGCTTAGTGGTAGAGTGCTTGCCTAGCATGCATGAAGCCCTGGGTTCAATTCCTCAGTACCACATAAACAGAAAAAGCCAGAATTGGTGTTGAGTGCTAGTTGAGCAAAAGAATCTCGAAGACAGTGCCCAGGCCATGAGTTAAACCCCAGGATTGCCAAATGGAGATAGATAGATGGATGGATGGATGGATGGATGGATGGATGGATGGATGGATGGATGGATGGATGAAATTGGCCATGGATCTCAGGAGGAAAGAAGGGATCACTTTCCAGGGCTGAGGCCTTCTGCAGTGTGCCCGGTGCCAGCATTGCCTTCACACAGCCACAGAGCAGGCAGCCAGTCTCTGTCCCACTTCTCAGGCAGCCTAGGGCCCCAGAGCCAAGAGGGCAGAGCCAGGTTCCTAACTCACTCAGTTGCATGGAGGCAGCAGAGAAAGGGCCCTGCCTCTCTCCCTATAGTGGGGATTTGCACTGAGCCAATTCCAATAGTGTGGAGAATCAAGAAAGGAAAATGGACTTGCAGAGATAGAAGAATGGCCTTCAAATTTGACAATTGGAGACTCAAAAACACATTCCCTAAGGCCAGAAAGCAGGAATCTTCAGCCCTGTCCCCATCTCCCCTTAAATGGCTCACTATTGTTAACCTAAAGAGAGCCTGAGGCCTCCCTTCATCTGAGGATTCAGGAAGTCTAATTATTAGTCATTGTTTGAACAGGCTGAGAAAAAGCCTGACCCTGGTGAAGCAAATGTTTCATTTTTCTTCCCATTGCTGGCTCTGCTTGAAATTAATTAAATTGTTTTTGCAGTTCACTTCTGTGTTGAGTCTACATTCTGCCTCCTAATCCTGCAGGTATAGGTCTCTGCACCTATCCTGAATTTTGAAACTGGTTTTTTGTCCTTCAAATAAAGTGTTACATTGAAGAGTTGGCTAACACAGCTAGAGGATGGATCCTGAAAACTTCATTTGAACCTAGGATTGGTCAATGATGTCTATTTCATGCTTCTATAGCTTAAAAACTCTTATAACATTTAGAAAGCAAGTAATTTCATCACCAAGGGTTTAGGAAGCACAGGAAGCTCTAAAACATCTGACCTTCCAGAAGTCTACTGTAGGACACAAGATTATTACAATCCTAGGCTGAGAGGCTGGGCAGATGGATCAGTTACACTTAACCCTTTTAACTCTGCCTCCACTCATAGTCAATTCCCTAGTTTGGTGCCTTTCCTGGTAGCTACTCAGGAGCTTCCAAGATAAAAATAGATTGATCCAAACAAAAAGGAGTTACTGGCTTTCTTTTTTTCCTTCCTTTCTTAAAATGTTTTGCAGGTCTTGGGGCTTTAACTGTGGGCATAAGCACTCAAGGCTAGCACTCTGCCATGTAAGCCACAGCTCCACTTTTTCTGTGATCAAGTGGAGGTAAGAGTGTCAGAGACTTTCCTGACCTGGCTGGCTTCACACTGTGATCCCCAGATCTCAACCTCCTGAGCTAGGGTAATAGGCTTGAGCTACTGGTGCTCTGCTAAGAACTGTAATGACATTTAAAATAGAATTAACTTCTTATCCCAAAGGCTTAGGGAGCATATCAATCTTTTAAACATTTGACCTTTCAGAACCCTGTAGGATACAAGGCTATAATGCTAGAGTCTGAGAGGCTGGGCATATGGGTCTGCAACATTGAACCTTGAACTCTGGCTCCAGTTCTGGGGTATGTCAGCATTCATTTCCCAGAGGTTTTCATAATTAGCAAACAGGAAAAATGCTTCTATTAACCCTCACATTTTTTAATTATTTTGGTTTTGGGGCTTGAACTTATCCTGGGCACTGACCCTGAGCTCTTCAGCTCAAGGCAAACACTCTAACCACTTGAGCCACAGCACCACTTCTGGCTTTTTCTGCCTGTGGCACTGAGGAATTATACCCAAGGCTTTATGTGTGCTAGGTGTACGCTCTAGCACTAAGGCACATTCTCAGCCCAACCCTTACATTTTTATCCCTCAATTTTCCTATCCTCAAGAAAAGGCTTCTCAGTATAAACTACTTTTTAAAAAGCCCTGTAGGAAGCGTCAAATGATAGAAAAGAGAAAGCTCATACCGGGGAATAACTCTAAAAATGTGAAGACTGTGACAAAGTTTTGAAGCACCCCTCAATACTTCTTGCATGACATTGAAATCATCTTAGAATGGCTGCAATTATAAGAGGGGCAAAAGTGGATGCATTGGAGAACATCAGCCCCAATTCATCCTGGAGCTGCCCTCATGAAAAATAATGTCAAAGCTTTTTATCTCAGGACAAATGCTCCTCACCCCTACAGAGTTCCTGTGGGAGTGAAGCTCTATACATGTAGAGGACAAACTCTTGAACAGTTCCTAAATCTGGTTTTAATAGAATTTGTAGTGGAGAAAAAAAACACAGCTATGTTAATAATGTGCCAAAGCCTGTATTTCACATTTTATCCAACATCAGGGAATTCATACTGTAAAATAAACTCATTTAGGAATGAATGTGGAAAATCTTTGCTCCAAATACACACCCCTTGTGGGAGGGGATGAGAGGGAAAAGCCGGGAGACAGTGAGGGAAGGGGTAACACTGTCCAAAAAGAAATGGACTCTTGACCTGACTCTCACAACTGTAACCCTTTATAATAACAGTGAGAGATTACTTTCAAAAATATATATCTCAGCAGTCAGCAAAGTATAAAGTTGATTTTACATATCAAGGATAACATGAAGACTTTTCATAGTGCTTTAAATATACATAACAATATCTATGTAAGAGCTATATAAAAGAGAATCATTACTAGAGAAAAATCCAATAAAAATATCGCACAGCTACCCAGGAGGCTGAAATCTGAGGATCATCACTTTTCTGCAAGTCCAGGCAGAAAAATCTTTGAGACTCTTGTCTCCAATTAAACACCAAAAAAGTGGAAGTGGCACTGTAGTTTAAGTGGTAGAGCACATGCCTTGATCTGAAGAACTGAGGACAGCTCCCAGTCCCAGAGTTCAAGCCCCATGACCAAAAAACAAAAAACAAGAAACACAAAACATAGCACAGAAACAAAATAAAAAGACTTCTAAGCAGAGCACTCACTCATAGTTCATGTCTGTAATTGTAGCTTATTTAGGAGGCTGAGATCTGAACATCTTGTCTAGAATTACCTCAGTCATAAATCAAGGGTGAAAGGTTATCTGCGATTAAAAATGACTTATTTACCTAAAACCTGTGGCTCAGAAGAAGATAATGCTGAACAGGCAGAAGAATTAGAGGGATGACCTAACAGAGGCTGAGGGTGGGGACATGGAGCTGCAAGCACAGCGCGCGTTCACCACTCGGAGGCAGATCTCTGAGGAAGCAGAAGCCATGGATCCCCGGGATGCCTCTGAGACCTGGGAAGTGATAAGAGAAGACAAAGCCGCCATGTACAGTGGTCAGTCTTTCCCATCACCAGCGACATCGAGTAACGTGGACATGCATCCTCACCTTGCAGAAGAATTAAATGCTAGACTCACCATGTGTGGTGATTCGGCCACTAGCCAGCCCATGTCCAGCTCAAATCATTCCAGCAGAAGAGGCAGTTTACAAGCCTATACTTTTGAGGAACAGCCTACACTTCCTGTGCTTCTGCCTACATCATTCGGATTGCCACCCGGGTGGGAAGAAAAACAAGATGAAAGAGGAAGATCGTATTACGTCGATCACAATTCTAGAACCACCACTTGGGCAAAACCCTCCACACAGCCCACCATGGACACCAGTCAGCTGCCATCGGGCCAGAGCTCAGCAGGCCCTCGGCCGCTGCTTCCCGCCAGTGACCCAGCATTGCAGGTGACACAGCCATCTGAAATTGAACAAGGATTCCTTCCTAAAGGCTGGGAGGTCCGCCATGCACCAAATGGAAGGCCCTTCTTCATTGACCACAACACCAAAACCACCACCTGGGAAGATCCAAGATTGAAAATCCCAGCTCATCTGAGAGGAAAATCTTCACTGGACCCACCTAAGGATCTAGGACCTTTACCTCCAGGATGGGAAGAAAGAACCCACACAGATGGAAGGATCTTCTACATAAATCACAATATAAAAAGAACCCAGTGGGAAGACCCTCGCTTGGAGCATGTCGCAATTACTGGACCAGCAGTGCCTTACTCCAGAGATTACAAAAGAAAGTATGAATTCTTCCGAAGAAAGTTGAAGAAGCAGAATGACATTCCAAACAAATTTGAAATGAAGCTTCGCCGAACGACTGTTCTAGAAGAGTCCTACCGGAGAGTGATGAGTGTCAAGAGAACCGACCTCCTCAAGGCTCGGCTTTGGATCGAGTTTGATGGTGAAAAGGGCTTAGACTACGGAGGAGTGGCCAGAGAATGGTTCTTCCTCATCTCAAAGGAAATGTTTAACCCCTACTATGGGTTGTTTGAATACTCTGCTACGGACAATTACACCCTACAGATAAACCCCAATTCTGGCCTGTGTAATGAAGATCACCTCTCTTACTTCAAGTTCATCGGTCGAGTCGCCGGCATGGCTGTTTATCATGGCAAACTCTTGGATGGTTTCTTCATCCGCCCGTTTTACAAGATGATGCTACAGAAACCGATAACTCTTCATGACATGGAGTCAGTGGATGGTGAATATTATAATTCGCTAAGATGGATTCTTGAAAATGATCCAACAGAATTGGACCTCAGGTTCATCATCGATGAAGAACTTTTTGGACAGACACATCAACATGAGTTGAAAAATGGAGGATCAGAAATCGTGGTCACCAATAAGAACAAAAAGGAATATATTTACCTTGTAATACAATGGCGGTTTGTCAACCGAATCCAGAAGCAGATGTCTGCTTTTAAAGAGGGGTTTTTTGAACTAATACCACAGGATCTCATCAAAATCTTTGATGAAAATGAGCTGGAGCTCCTTATGTGTGGATTGGGAGACGTCGATGTGAATGACTGGAGAGAACACACCAAGTATAAAAATGGCTACTGTGCCAATCACCAAGTCATCCAGTGGTTCTGGAAGGCAGTCTTAATGATGGACTCAGAAAAAAGAATAAGATTGCTCCAGTTTGTCACCGGCACGTCCCGTGTGCCTATGAATGGATTTGCTGAACTCTATGGTTCAAATGGACCACAGTCGTTTACGGTGGAGCAGTGGGGTGCTCCGGAGAAGCTGCCCAGAGCGCACACCTGCTTCAATCGCTTGGACCTGCCACCCTATGGATCATTTGAAGAATTATGGGATAAACTGCAGATGGCAATCGAAAACACTCAGGGTTTTGATGGAGTTGATTAAACCAAACAAGCCAAAAAAAAAAAAAAAAAAACATAGCACAGTATACAACGGTTCCCTAAAATATACTAGACAGTGTTGGTTAACATATTATGAATAAGGATATCTTCCCTTGTACTAGAGAAAGTACTGATAAATTATTTCTGAAAATACATAAATTTATTTAAATGTATATAAAATTCTCATTCATCTTGAAAAATTAGAGAAAGTACACATAAAATGGGTCACAGACCTTGGGAAAAAAAGAAGGGATCCCTTCCCAGTGCTGAGGCCTTCTGCAGCATGCCTGGCACCAGCATTGCCTTCACACAGCCACAGAGCAGGCAGACAGTCTCTCTTCCACTTCTCAGGCAGCTTAAGTAAGGCCCCAGAACCAAGAGGGCAGAGCCAGGTTCCTAACTCAGGTGCGTGGAGGCAGCAGAGAAAGGGCCCTGCCTCTCCTCTTGGAGTGGGGATTTGCAATGAGCCAGTTTATATGGCCTCCCACCAATTCCAATAATGTGGAGAATCAAGAAAGGAAAATGGACTTGCAGAGTTAGAAGAAGGGCCTTCAAATCTGACAATTGGAGAGTCAAAAACCCATTCCCTCAGGCCAAGAGCAGCAATCTTCTGCCCTGTTTCCCCCCCACCCTAAACTGGCTCACTATTGTTAACCTAAAAAGGGCCTGAGGCCTCCCTAACCTGAGGGCTGAGGAAGCTTAATCATTAATCATTGGCAGGCTGAGAAAAAGCCCACCAAGGAGACAGCTGGCTTTGAAGGACAATCCTGAGATCTCATTTTCCTAGGTAGCTAGGATTGCAGGCCTGAGCTACCTGTGCTATTTTAATAAATTACTTTGGCATATCATACCACTGCACATTCCTATTTGTTATTCTCTCTCTGCTCTGGGTCTTCTTCATACATGGACTCCATCTCTTCAGTAACATAACGGTATCAAACAGGATTTACTTTGCTCCTGGGTATGTTCATATGAAACAGGTTAACAGGCTTGAATACAATGTATTTTTTGTTTACCATTGTTTTCCTTTTATCTTTTTTATACATTTTTATTGTAAAAATGCTGTACAGAGGGGTTACAGTTACATGAGCAAGGTAATGAGTACATTTCCTATTGAGCATTTTTGCCTCCTCCTTTGTTGTCTCCCTACTATCCCTTCCCTCTCACCTCCACAACTACCCCCCACCACCGAAGTTGTAAAGTTTGTTTTCAACATAGTGTTTTGCACATCTCATTGTTACAATGGGTCAACCTGTATCCTTATTTAAGCATTTTGTTTTTTTCCTCCCCCTCCCCGAATTAGAGATGTGTATATACAAGAAGCAGGGCACCGAACATCCACTACAGTGAAAACAGGGGTTAGACCATGGGGGAGGAACATACAAAGCAACAAAAAAATCACATGGTACATTATACATACGTCAGAAAGATAGCAAGAAACAAAAAAGATATTTGTGTCCCTATCTTGGGTTTAATTTTGCTTAACATCATCTTATATGGTCATATGTACATAACTTTTGGACTTTTCTGCCTGTCCTACACATGTACTAGTTTACAATTTTGTGTTTACTTTTACTGGGCTTCGAACTCAGAGCTTTACCTTGTTTTTCCATTCTTGCTTAGCTGTTGTTTAACCAATTGGACCACACTTCCAAGAAGATGAAATCTCTAAGACTTTCCTGCCCAGGCTGACATTGAACTGGAATCCTCAAAATGCCAGCCTCTTGAGTAGCTATGATTAGAAGAAAGATCTCCAGTTTGAGGTTAGGTTGAATCTTATAGCAAGATCCTGTCCCCAAAAAGAAGCAAATGAAGAAGAAAGGAAGAAGAGGAGAAAAAGGAAGAGAAGGAGGAAATGAAAGGAGTAGGAAAGGAGGAGAAGGAAGAAAGAACAAAGAGGAAAGAGGAGGGAAGAGGGAAGTCCATAGAGCTGGCTCATAAGACATAAGCCACAATCTTGCACAGCCTAATTTGGAAATGATTTCCCATGACTATTGCCACATTTTAAATTGAACAAAACAAATTGGTGTCATGCTAGACCAAGTCCATGCTCAACTATATATATATATATATATATATATATATATATATATATATTTACATATACACTCATACACACACACACACACACACACACACACACACACAAGAGGACATCTTTACAATAGCACCTAATTCCACTTGTTTAGTCTATAAACAACCATTTCATTATCAAAACAAGAAAAAAAACATCTTCCAGACAATTTTAAGGACTGCATTATAAAAGTCAATGTTTAAGAACTATGGACATTTTTGAAGAAAATTGCTGCAGGTAGTAGCCTGCCAGGATTAGAGGTGTGCACAGCTGGGCTGGCAAAATGTGTACCTAAGGGAGAGACCCACCAGGACAGGCAAGGACAGCCAGAGCCTGTGGCTTATGGGCACCTGTGAGGTTTGCAAGGACCAAGAACCCTAGCCCAAGTCCCTACAGTCTATTCTATGTAAGGTTCCTATCTGAACTAGGGATATTCTCTTTAGACTCTACAAGGACAAAACCACATCTCCAAATTAGACTTTAGCATCTATTTTAGTAAGGCCTCTCCTGAAGATTTGTGAGCTATAGCCAGTCAGAACTTACACAGGACCTAGCCTCTTTCTCCTAGCCAAGCCCTATTCCTAGAGGACCCTGCTCCACATAGGAGAGATAGAGACTACCAGCACCCACATCCTCTTACCAGAGCCCTTCTTCTCCCTGTGCTATCTTCTCTCTCAGTCCATACACTGCCTCATAATCACAGTAGTGATGATCACAATTTCCTCATCCATTAAAGAGAATAAGATTATGTCATTTTCAGGGAAATGGATGGACCTAAAAGAAATCATGTAATGTGAGGTAAGATAAGCTCAGAGACAAACAGTGCATGATTTTTCTCATATGCAGAAGCTAGATATAAAATATAATGGCATGATTAACTATACAGAACTGTAGGCATTCATACACGGTTAGACTATAGGAGGAAAGCCTTAGGGGAGGAACCCAAAGTGAAACTTCTCTAAACATTTAGAATACTGTTTATTGAAATGAAGTCCAGGATATATAGGTAGCTTACACTGGTAATCCTAGGTATTCAGGAGGTTGATGTCTGAGGATCATAGTTCAAAGCCATACTAGGCAGGAAAGTCTGTGAGATCCTTATCTCCAATGAACCACCAGAAAACCAGAGTTGGGGTTATGGCTTACAGTGGTAGAGTGCCAACCTTGAAAAAGCACAAGGCTCAGGCCCTGAGGTCAAGCCCCAACACAGACCAACAAAGGGAAACAGGTTTTCAGTCGTTATCGTTAGTGGTGGCAGTGTTTGTTATGCTTTTTCCTCTCTTAACAGGGCAAAGGATGGGGCATAGAAAGGGAGGAAGGTGCTGGGCCCCTGTGGCTCACACTTGTAATCTTAGCTACGCAGGAGACTGAGATCTGAGGATCATGGTTCAAAGCCAGCCAGGACAGAAAAGTCATGAGACTCATATCTCCAATTAACTGCCAGAAAACCAGAAGTGGTGCTGTGGCTCAAGTGTTGGAGCACTCTCCTTGAGCTGAAAAGCTCATGCACAGTGCCCAGGCCCAGAGATCAAGCCCCAAGACTGACAAAAAAAAAAAAAAAAAAAGGAAGGCAAGAAGGGTTAGCAAATACAATTATGTTAGTCAGTAGACAGTATGTGGAAAATGAACTCTGTAACTTGTAGGCAGGGATGGGAGGGAGAAACCAAGGAAAAACAAAGGAAGGGATAACACACAAAAAGAGAAATGTACTCATTACCTGACTTCTGAAATGGTAACAGCTCTCTACAACACCTAAATAATAAGAAAATTATACTTAAAAATACCTCTCCTCTATACATAAGGTTTAATTCAGTGCTGGCAGATGTAAGCAATTGCATTGTCCTCCCTCCTCTGAGCACTGATGGTAAAGATGACGCCTTCTCTCTTAAGGTAGTCTTTCATCCTTTGTGGATCAGGAAATTGGATTCTCCCAGAAAGTCAACTCAGGGACCTACTGTTGTTTTTACCCATTAATATAGACAGAAGCATCTCTTCCAGGTGGAAGGGCTCCATGGATGAGACCTGTGGAATGGCCCTGAGTGCTGTCTTCCTACTGATCCCTGAATGTGCCCACTAGACAGCCGCTGTATTCCACAAACGACAAATACCAAAATCCCTGGATTTTTGTTGTTGTTCTCTAATTCTTGGGAATAATGGCTCCATAACAAAGGACATCCTCAAGAATATTTATAATTTCAATAATGCCACATAAAAGGACCTGGGAAATCACATAGTCATAGGAAATGGGCCCAACTGATTCAATAATTCTCATTGAAGTTGTCAACATCTACACATGCTCTCTCTCTCCTCAAATTTTTATGTGTGCCAGTACTGGGTCTTGAACACTGGATATGGTGTTCTTGTTTGGCTGTTTCATTTGAGGCTGATGTTCTACTACTTGAGCCTTGGTTCACTTCCAGCTAATTGAAGATGAGTCTATGAACTTTCCTGTCCAGACTGGCTTTGAACCTGATAAGCTAGGATTACAGGCGATAGCCAATAGTGTCCAGCTTACATTCCTTTGACTATCCTTACTCTTCTGTCTCCAACTTTTCTCTTTTCTCCCTGTGATGGTTCATTCTGCAGGCAGTGTCCACGAGAAGACTGTTGAAGAGGAGCTTAAAGAAAAAGAAATTTTAGCACATAAAACTTGAGAGGCGAGCCAGGCATCAGTGGCTCAGGCGTATAATCCTAGTTACTCAGGAGGCTGTGATCTGAGGATCTTGGTTCAAAGCCAGCCTGGGAAGGAAAATCCACAAGACTCTTAACACAATTAACCACCAGAAAACCAGAATTGAGGCTGTTATTCCAGTGCTAGAGTGCTAGCCCTGAGCTGAAGAGCTCAGGCCCAGGGCCCAGGTCCAGGGTTCAAGCCCCACGAATGACAAAAAACAAAGGAAAAAAAAAAAACAAAAAACAAAAAACCTTGA